TGTGTGTGGTTTCCCATCAGTGTTTACAGCATAATTGAAGCTGTGGCCCCTCCTTGGCCTTATGAGAGCCATTGTACAGTATGTACAGGGTTATTATAGTAAATGCTTCATTTGTCGACTGGTTTTGGTCTGACAAATGAAGCATGTGTCATCGTTATGAAATTAGTTTATGTCTCATAGTGTGACAAAGAGTTCAATGTTTGCGTGGGTAAATTCAGTAATAGTTTGATAGATAATGTGTCATGTTTACCCATTTTAAGCTCTTTGTGTGTAATTTAAAGCACTATTCTCATGCCCACATCGTCACATAAAGAAGCACAGTGGCAGTTTTAAACATGTAGGTAATTTGGGGGATAAAAAAAAAGCAGACTTAGTTTAGTAAGTTAAGTAGCGAACCATGACATACCGACGTAGTTTTATAGAATTAAACATGTGTTAATGATGTGAATTCAAACAAAAACTACATAGGTTTAGTAAAAGATCATATTTTGGGCTAAACTTGTGTTTGTTAGGTACATTTAATTGTGTATGTAAGTTAATAGTCAACATAAATATGTCAACAGTTTAATTTTTGTTTCATAAAGGAAAGGGAGAGAATAAAGGTTTATGTAACATTGAACGACTGGTGAAGTTTCAAAATCAACATCAATATCATATTATATGACAGCACAACTCTCTGCTCAAACCCTTATTAACGAAACTCGAAAAGGAAAACAGATCATCATTACTGTCCGATATCTTATATTTCTTGCTGTTACATTAGTTTGTGAATGATTCAGGGACTCATCCATTGAGCATTGAGCAAACATTATTGCATCAAATAAGTCAGACTCTTGCCTTTTCCCTCCGTTTTCTCTCACTCTCATCACACCATTTCAATTTCCCTTTGCTCCTTCCTGCTCCTCTTATTCTCTGTATATCTGCCTCCATCCTCTCACCTCTCCCTCAACTCCTGCTCCCAGGTTTCATTTTCCTGCTACCAGATTCCATTTTCTCTCTGTCCTTTCACTTCCTTTCCCTTACTAATGCAGATAAGAGACACATGTATGAGCGTTTACACACACAAAACATACACATGCATGGAAATGATTAAAAGCCAAGATGTATACTGTGCCTGAACTGATACTCGTCTTGAACCAGAACATAGATGCGCTGTTTTTCGATTGAAGCTATGGATCGCCTCAAGGCCTGAAATGAAAACCCATTAAATCGGACATTTTACACTTTCACTTGCATATTGTCATGGCCTGGTAGGAACTTGAATATTTTTTTGGAAATGTAAGCTTTTTGAGAACTAGATTGAAAATAAGACTCCATGTATTGGAGTTTGGTAGAAATTATTTTTTATTCTAACAATCTACTGATTAACACACTGTCAAACAAAAGATTTACATTTAGACTTTAAAGAGATTTAATTTTCTTTTTGTTGTTGTCCAGTAAGTTTTTTAGTCACATTTGTGGTTTAAATACATACATACAATTCATTATCATAATAATATCCTTATTATAATCTGCACTGAAACTTTTCTTCTTGTTTTTTATATTTTTGAGATTATTTTACAATATTTTTCTTGGCTTTTTAATGTATTTAATATAATGTATGATGTCCTTTATTGTTTTATGTTTCATGTGGAACCTATATGCTGCAGGTCTCCCTTGAAAAAGAGATCTATGATCTCAATGGGACCAATCTGGTTAAATAAAGGTTTGAAATGAAATGAAATCAAATTTAAATTTAATTTTATAATGTGTTTGTGTAACACTTTGTCTTAATGTTTTTATTGTTTTATGGAATAAATGTGCAATGTACATTTTACAATATAAATATACTTGCCGTGCCTAAATATTGACCTCTCTGAAATAAAGTGCTATTTTTTTCTAATATACATGAATGTTTATAATAAAAACATCAATTTGATAATGTAATAAATTAAACAAGATTCTCCTCCAAGAGACATTTCTCCTATCAACCTTTGTATATACCAATAGAACATATCGTACCTACACACAGACACAGTTCAATAATTACATCTGAAATAACTAGTTATCCAATATCAAGTATTTTGTAGCAATCCAGGTGACATTATGTTTCTGTCTGTTGCATATTCAGATCCTGGAGCTGTTGGTTCCCACACTTTTTTCGACTTTTCCCATCGCCTCAGTGTGCAAGTCCAAATGAAACAGAGATATTCATGGCTCCTCTCCATGAGCATAAAGACCTGGACCTATTGCCCTGGCCATTCAATTAGCCACAGTGGCCAGTGTGTGTGTTTCTGTGTGCGTGTGCTTCTATGTGTGTAGGTGTGTGTAAGTGCAAACTATTGCCCTGTCTGAGCAGCCAACCTCAACTAAGGGCCAGGCTCAAACAGCGGCTTAAAGCTAACCAGGTCACAGCTGATGGTGTGAGAACTGGGGCTGTGCACAGTTGAGTGTGTGTGAGTGTGTGTGTGTGTGTGTGTGTGTGTGTGTGTGTGTGTGTGTGTGTGTGTGTGTGTGTGTGTGTGTGTGTGTGTGTGTGTGTGTGTGTGTGTGTGTGTGTGTGTTTGTGAGTGAGTGAAAAGAAGGGAGAAAGACCTCACACCTACAGTATATACACTTTCTTTTTGACCATTTATTAATCTTAAAACTAGCTGCTACTTTCATTTGTATAATGCTGCTACTGATCTTCTACCCTGGTTGTGTACTTATTTGGTTTTATTTTAATTGTATTAACATGTGATTGCCTCTTTATTTCAGTTGTAAGTTATTCTACTCATCTTTTTGTCTTTTATCTGCACTGTGCTGATGTACATTTGTGGAACATATACAAGGTTTCTGATTCTGTTTAATGGATGTTTGTTGCCAAAAACAAAACCTGCCTCCTGAGTATTCCCATGATGTCACTTCACCTCAAGTTTAAGCGTGTGTTGAGTTCATTTTCATGTTATTTAGCTGGAAGCGAAACTGCGTACGTGCCGGTCCTGCCGATGCAGCCCCGTCTTTCAGCAGCGCTAGCTTCTGTTTTTAGAGGCAGTCAGGCTCCACTGATTTCTGCTGTAGATGTTGAGTAATCAGAGCCAATACTGTTGAATCACTTTCTCCTAATGCTGACACACAAAGGCAAGTTGTGACTGTTTAGGTTTCAGTAGTATTTCATGGGTAATAGGGCATTTACAGGGCATTTACAGGGCATTTACAGGTCGTGGAAGTTTATTTTTGTCCAAAAACTTGAAACTGACTGAGTTGAGTGTAATGTCAATTTTTTACAAATCAGCATTATTTTCCTATGTAAATGTACTCTTTATACTTTTTCCTTTGTTGTTGTAACGCTGAACATTTCACCGCTGTGAGACGAATAAAGGATTTCTGATTATGTTTCTGAAAGGTTTATTTGGTTTAGATTTATATTATCAGCTCGCTCTGACGGACAGGCCACAAATATTTCCCCACCCTTGGGCGGCCAGTTTTTCCCCACTCGGTAGAATTTGGCAGAGAGGTCAAGTGTTTCTACGGTTGTGTTTGTGCTAATGCATGACCGCTAGGCGGTTGCATGAACGACGTTGCAGCATTTGTAAACTCAAACTTGTTTTATTAATGGTCTATATATAAACAAGTTGGGCTTTGTTAACTTGAATAGTTCTGGGAATGGACGTCTTGTCATGACTTCAAGTTCTTAGGAAACCGGCAGAGGCTCCGGGAAGTTTCTGTGACTCGGATGTACCAGGGTTAAACCCAAGAGATAGAAAACTGTTGATTAATTAACTGTAGACGTTCTGGTTGATTTTGTTGCCCCTGGACAACGCCAGGTTAGTTATTTTCCCCTGCTTCCAGTCTTTATGCTAAGCTAACCATCTGGTGGCTATAGATATATGATGGGCTGAATTTGGGTGATATACGTTATCGAATGATGTTAAGAGATTCAGAATATTTTCATTTGATGGAATTTGAAGCCATAAAAACGAACAACAAAAAGTATGTGGTTCAGAATTGTAAGTCATTGCTGTCAGCATATAGTTCTAATGAAAAGTTGGGACATGCTGATACAGAATAACTCCAAAAGGAATGGACCCTGTTTTCTCAACTACAGAAAACTTCCAATGTTAAGTATGAACTTTAACCCGCAGCTTTAAGCCAACATGGACAACATATCCCTAAAGGGCATAGGGAAAAACAAAGATATCTGCAATTAGATGAGAACTAAAGTCATGTGATTATAAAAGAGACCCCTCCCTAATGTACTACAAACACTACACTACAATACATAGTAAAGCAGCAAATACAACATCTCCTTAGTTTCAATCACTAGCATGTTACAGGAAACTTTGATGAAGAGAATTAAAACAGGCATTTATTCACAATGAAAATACCTTACACTGTAGGTTTAATGCCCCCAACTAGCCACCATCCTCTTCCTCAGTGACAGGCGTTTCCCAGCATCAGAGGCCATATAGTGTGTGTTTCTATAGTCTGCCATTCCCAGAGCTGGCGGAGTGTGAAGACATATAATTGCTTCATGAAACCTAACTAGGTGATATGAATAATCTGTCAGTGGAGGCGGCAACCTGGCATCCAGGCCAATCACGGAGGTATCCCGGAGTAACGGAGCGTGGCCAAAACCATACCTGCCCATCCGGAAAAAAACATATCTGTCCCTCAACTTCCTCCTTTCCGCCCGAGCCCCCGTTATCCGCCCGAGCCCCCGTTATCAGACCGAACGGCTGAGTGTGAGGGAATTCATTGGAGACCCTCTATATGGCACCATGATCAAGTCCACATCTGATAGAGAACTAGCCAGTGATTGGTGTGTGTGTGTGTGTGTGTGTGTGTGTGTGTGTGTGTGTGTGTGTGTGTGTGTGTGTGTGTGTGTGTGTTAATCTAATAGTTATTTTTATTTACAACTTACTTTATCTTACTGTGTTTACGTATGCGCCAATTCCTTGTATGTGTAAACCTACTTGACAATAAACCTATTTCTGATTCTGAGAATACAATTTTGAGAACTCATTTTGTGCAGTAAATACCTTAAACTCTTGTGTCGATGGTGTTTCTGTGCTCGTCGTTCCATTTCCAACTTGTATTGGTCATTACTTAATACTCCATCTGTATGTAACACAAGCAAAAACAAAACAAACTTCACATGAGATTTTCTTTAGAGGAAGTAGGCGAGATAAAAGGCCTAATAAAATGATGTCATAATATCCAAATGTCTAAACTCACACACTCACACGTATTCATAATTATGAGTCACTTTTAAAAGAACTATTCCACATAACAAGTACTTTGACCTATTATTAAATACATGTTTCTCGTACCACTTCTCTACCTTTACTGAAGTTACATTTTTATGTAGTACTTTTACTTGTAATGCTGCTTTTTTAATTAAAAAATAAAGCATATGGTTGTCTACGCATAATACCATTGAACCAGAATACACACCCCCTTGAAAATCCTTTAGACTGTGCACGTGCCTAAAGGAGAAAGCTTTTGAAGCATATTAAATATTTTAGAAAATATACAAATGAAAATAAAACGTGAATGATTGAAGCACATCCTCCTACTATGCATGTTAAGATGTATTTTTCTAAAGCCCTAAAGAAACATCAATTCACACACACACATTCACTCGCAGAGATACACACAGAAAATCCTAAATGCAGGGTACGTTTTCCACTGTGTGTGCTTCAAGCTAGCTTGTGTGTATTTATCTGTTAAAATGTATGTATACCTTGTGTGTGTACACTTGTATTCAGATGTGTGTGTGTGTGTGTGTGTGTGTGTGTGTGTGTGTGTGTGTGTGTGTGTGTGTGTGTGTGTAGTCACAGCATATAGCGTGTTTGTTTTTATCAGAGATCTTTAAGCTGGGTCATGTGTTGTTGCTTCACATTTCATCATCCTGCGCTCTTATCTGCTGTTTTCATACACAACTGCTGTAATACTGTTCACACACACACACACACACACACACACACACACACACACACACACACACACACACACACACACACACACACACACACACACACACACACACACACACACACACACACACACACACACACACACACACACACACACACACACACACACACACACACATACAATTTAACAATAAGCCTGTAAAGATAGTTTGTAGGAGGGAGAACGAAGGAGTTATGAAGAGACAGGAGGTAACAGCAAAAGGAGGAAAGCATTGAGAGAGGGATAAGAAAGAAGAGGGAAGCAGCCTCCATCTTACGTTGTTGTTGTGTTTTGTTGATTTTGGAGGCAGACAGAGGCTGATAGCTGTCAACCATGTGAGGAATGAAGCCTCTCGGATCTCCTCTACAGATTATTTAGTCCTCTGACACATATATCTCTCCCTGCACGCTCCACGTCGTGGTGTTTTGTCTGCAGTGTCCTTAAATATGAAAGTTTTTGTGTTTGAGTGTCGCCATCCTGAGTCCGAAAGGTTACTGCTGGGTCATGACGGCTGATATCCATCCTGATATGTCTGGTATGAAGCTGACACAGACACATTTTGTACTGAGGATCCATGTGTTTTAAATCTAAATATGTAACTTCTTGTATACTGTAGTGAGAGTTCATTAAAATCAAGTTAGAACTAAAGCAAAGATTGAAGTCTGACCTATTGTATCACGTAAAGTAGCTATTATTGTTCTAATTTGATTAAATAAGCTTTAAAGGTCACCTATTATGCAAAATCCACTTTTTCATGTCTTTTACATCAACATGTGTCCCCTCTGTGTAAAGAGATTCTGAAAGTTTCACGAAAAAAAGATTTGCTCACTTTTTGTCCTGATCCATTTACATAAAAACCTGTCTGAAAATGAGCTGATCAGATTTTGGCCACTTTATGATGTCATAACGATTTTTTGGCTTGTGTAACAACCAAGGCAAGGTTTACTTGCACTTCCTGTCTGAGCATCTCATCTCCCATGAGCCTTTTCTTGGTCGGCTTCTGTCAGCCTCCCGTCCCAGACCGACTCCTGGGAGCGTTTCCTCCCAAAGAGCAGCTCGGAAGCTGATTGGATGATGGGGCTAATCGTTAGCGGAGAGGGGGGAGCAGAGTGCGGAGGCTCATAATGGCTTCCAATTTTGGGGAGGAAACGAGATGTAAATGAGGTAATTATGTGTCTTAACGAGGGCAAACAGCGTTGACTTTTTAGCCCTGGTAACCAGCGTATTTATAGCCTATAATAACCTTAAAGTGGCTGGCTGGAAGGCTGTCTGAACTGCACTTTGGTTTTTATTAGGGTTGTGTGTTTGAATCAGAAAGGTTTGACTTGTATTCTTCTTCCATCAAAGTAGCAAACATTGTATTGACAGGCGTACGTAGCTTTGAGAAAGGGGGAGGACACCAAATGAGAAGTTATTCAACCCCCCCTTTAAAATCCAGTTTATAGGCCTAGTTATAAAGCGTTATGAAACGGATGAAACTTTAACCCCCCGTGGAAAACACTGCAGAGTTTGTCCTCTTTTTATGTCAAATGTACACGATCAGGCGGAAATATTTTCTCTCCAAGATTTTTCTATTTGTCTAACTAGTTATTGTATAAGAAGTGTTTAAAATTCAGTCTTGAGTCAATGAAAACAAAGACACCAGATAGAGTTTCAGTCATTTTTGGCTCCTTCAACACGTTCCCCCCCCCCCCCCCCCCACCCTCCTTGAGATTGAACTCGGCCGGTTATGGTTCTTTTGTTTTTAAAACATGACATGAAAACCTCTGATTTAAAATTGAATGAAGTGCAGTGGAACCCGGTCGAGGGAGGCCAGCAGGATTGTGGGTAAATGTTTTTGCCATTAGGATTGTGCTGACCACAGCAGAAATGTATTTCTGAAGGAGTAAGCATAGGGGGCTTTGGAGCTCACCCTATTTGTATATTCTCTCATACATCCATTTCCCTCCTGTACAGATTAAAATGAGTATTTGGCGAGCATTGCACAGTAGGATTATCATATCGAGGGCCTTTTTGGTAGAAATGTAAAAAGTGAATTCATTTCGAAGTGCTGGACGTTCTCTTGTAAGACGTCAAAGATTCATTTTGATTGGATCAAAACTCCCACATAAGAAGAATTCAGGTTTTAAAAAGGAAAGATTTGCATAAATAAAATTAAACTAAATCAACACAGGTAAAACAAAAATGAGTTTACTTCACGAGACACAAAACGGATTAAAGATGACATTGTTCTGGGGAATATATGAATTTCTGAGCAGATGTTCCCGATTTGACGGAACATCTCAAATCGGGAACCAACTGTGGTGGAGGATAACTTACATTTTTTAAACGTTATGCTACTCTATACTTCTACCCAACTACATTTTGGAAGCCAATATTAAGCTTTTTACTGCACTACATTAATCTGACAGCATTAGTTAATTTACAGAGTGAGATTATTAGCTAATACAAAATAAACACTGTTCTGTTTTCTTAATACTCTAAAATTAAACCCATCTTATTGATATTTCTTTGTATTTATTGGCATTGCATTTGATATTGGGGTTATCCAAAGGACATGCCTAATCGCATTCCTTGGATCCTCCAATAAATCTCATTAAGGTAGGTAATAATAACAAATGAAAACTCTAACATATTTGGAGTTAATCCATTTCCAGACAGTGATACAGTATATAAAGTGTTACTTAGATTTGGTTACTGATTAGCTATTTGAACAGGTATTTGGTAATTGGAACCCTGCTGGTGAGTAACTCTAGCTAAGTGTTGTTAGTCAGCCTGAGAAACACATATTTTCCATGCCATGTTGGTGAAGACAAAGCAGCATCACCACCTCACCTGATGCCTTTACCTGCTTCCTTCCTGGTACTGATATTAAGCAACCCTCCCCCTCCCCCCCTGGTCTCTCTTTCCGATGGCACTCATCCGTTACGTTCTCAAGGGAAGGGCAGACTACTGGCGCCGCACTGTTTGGGCTTTAGCTGTACGCACGCACACACGCACACGCACACACACACACACACACACACACACACACACACACACACACACACACACCACACACACACACACACACACACACACACACCACACACACACACACACACACACACACACACCACACACACACACACACACACACACACACACACACACACACACACACACACACACGCGCGTTGCCTTCAGCGTTGAGGGGGTGAAAAGTCATTCAGAGGTTTTGTTGGCGGGCCACCTAGAGTTCATGCCACCAGAAGCTTTTCTCTCTGAGGTTTGAAAAATTACTGGTTAGGTTAAAGTGACAACGGGGTGCCTAAGAGAGAAATATTTTGTACTTTAGCTTTGTACACAATCAATAATCACACTCCTTTTGTGTATATAACAAAAATATGTTGTACGTACAGTTTAAAGAAAGACACTACAGGTGAATATGGTAAAAAAGTAATAGATTTCACTTTGACACTTCCTCATTTGATAACTTACATTAAGATGTTTCTTTTTTATTACAGGTTTTCTAAAATGTTAAGTTTATACGTACAAATTAGGCTTTTTTTCGATGCTAACTTTTGATGAATTTAGTTTAAAATTAACAGTTTTTTTTTCTTATTAAAAGTAAAAAAAACACTATCCAACAACATAATGAAAGTCAACTTTCATGACTCTTCCAAAATCTCCGTTTTTGTTTTAACATACAACTGCAATTTCAGAACACATTTAAAGAGTATCTTGAAATATTCTTACTGCACAACAAAATAAGGTTTACTGGATATATAAAAGGGCCTAACATGTACTTTTACTTTGTTAATAATTTAAGTATAACTTTTTAGTAGAGGATAAATACAACATCTGCCTCTGATCCTTACATTTTCTTTTCTCAAAATACAAAAACATCTTTCCGTGTTTACAGGAAGTTATATCAGTAACTTGATACATTGTATTAACAAATAAGGAATAATTGTTCTCAATCTGATAAAACATAAAAACTGTTGACATATTTGGATCACAGGTTTGTGTAAAATTAGGTGCAGTTCAATAATGTTTTTGACAACGCAAAGGTATAATCTGCCTGATAAAAACACAAATGAAACACCACTTCTTAGAAAAACGTGCTGAAAGAAATAAAAAGGTAAGATAAATGCCTGACCTGCCTTCTGGGATGTCGAGGTAAAGTTGGCAGCGTGCAATCAAAAACCCTCCTAAAGACATAAAGAAAAGTTTAATATTCTGTGAAATCCTGTACGGCTCGTCTTTCTCTGAGCTTTTCATTTGGAGCCTAAGATCAGATCAGTGTTTATGAATCGGACACTTGTCTGAGTGTAAGTGCTTTAGCAGACTGAATGAGCGAGAAAATAGAAAAGTGGTTTGAAAAGGGAGAAATATTCCTGACACTTGGAGTGACCTTCATGTGAATCGAAGCCTCCCTCGGCTGCAGAGCCCACTCTGTTTTTGTGGTTTGTAAAGCTTATTTAACTTTTGACAATAAGTTTAAAGTACGATGTTTAGTCGAGGTAACGCAGGATTATTTTTCCAACCTAATTTGAAGCAGTAGGCTCTCTCTCTCCTTCAATTTTCTCTCCTCCTCTTCGAGTAATCCACCGTCATCTTGATCAGAGGCAGACACCGGGGTTTGAAGAAAAATTAAACAAATAAACTGTGATGCTTTGGATAACATTCCCCTCTGATTGACCCGACCCCGTGAACTCTGGCCGGGGTCGTGACCTCGAGGTGGCGTTGGCTCTGAGCGTCAGAGGGGCCTCCATGTCCCGACCTGGAGAAAAACATATGAAAAAGCTGAGTCCACTTCAGGCCACATTACACCTCCACACACTCAGAGAGAGAAGCAGCTGAAACCAGCAGCTACCGATCACTTACAGTATATCACACTGCATGATGGCAGGGCCTGAGATGATCATATTTACAGGTTTAAAAATAAAAGAAGACATGTAACATCTAAATATGTTTTTTACCCAATTTAACATTTTTTTCAAAAAGACCAGAAAACTTGAAACTTTGGACACAAACAAAAACTAATTATATTAAACCATTGCTACTGATAATAATAGCAGATATGTAAATGTAAAAAACAGCAAAAGAGGAACAATTCTTTTACATTAAAATGTGTATATTTTGCAATGTAATAGTTATTTTTCCTAATTTATTTAATGGTTTTTAAATATTTGTATTTGATTTGGAGTAATTTTGGACATATTTCAATGTAAATATGCATCGGAGAATTTTTATAAGTTTTGTAAAGAGCATAGTGATTTATATAAGTTTTAGTAACTTTCTGAACTACTTAATGAGAAATTGATTGGGAACATTAGTGCTGCCAATATGAATTAATTAATCGGATGATTATTTTAGCCATCAATCAATTAAAAAAACACAAAATATTAAAATAATTCTCAAAGCCCATGAGGGCGTCTGCACATTTCTTGCTGTGTCCAAATACCAAAAGCATAACATCCTCATATTTTAGAAGCTGAAGCCAGTGAATATTTGACATATAGCCCAAAGGAATGACAATAAAAATATTACCCTAACTCTATTTTTAAGTGTTTAAGCTATAGAAAAAATCCACATGTAATCCACATACAGTACAGTACCACTACGTTAACCTGAGTGCATGTTGCCCTTGTGTCCAAGTACTGTGGATATGAATGTGTGTAATGCTGTTCTTCAGGATTCAAGGTGTTTCCTGTGACAGCGGACATTGAAATTCCCGACCTGATGAAGACAAAGCTGGAGATGTGACCTGCTGTTGACGCCGCTGATGAATGAAGAAAAACTGACAGGAATGTACAGACGTTCAGGTTCTCGCCTTGGTGTCTGCACTGATAACAACCATTATCTACAAACATCAAACCCTTTGTCTGCTGCTTGTTCAGTAATTTGATTTGTTATGTTTTGTATGATTGGGAAATAATTACTTTATTTTCTGAAATCTGTATATAGTTTTACTGAAGATTAAGATGCAGTCTTTAAGATGATGAGTTTTCCTGATTATTAATGTTTTTATTGACAAGATTTTGGTTGAAAGTGAACTTATTCTTCGATGTCTAGAATACAAATAATCATTGTATGTTAACAGCATGTTAATCACTGGTTGCAGACATGGGGGTCACATGATAATCTAAGGGGTTGTTATTTCATTATTATTGATGGAGAAATGTGTTCATCACTTTAATGTTGCAGCTGGTTAGAGAGTAGTTTATTTAATTTTATATATAAATAAATGCTGTTGCCAAGTTGTGCCTTTTAAAGTTTCACCTTAATATATACATGATTATTATACGTATTATTAGCCTGATGTAGCAAGAACATGGAAATTGTTCTTAATCACAATAGTTGAATTAATTTAAGTCCTGACAAATGTTCATTTTGCAAGTTAAACAGTTGAATAGTTTACATCACCATAGTTGTGACCAGATTTGTATTGAAATATATTCACTAAAATGCAATATCTAAAAGTTACTCCATTTCACATGTATAAAGTTGACTTATTTCAGTTTTACTTGCACCAATACTTTAAACTAGTTTATTTCTTTTTGCACTATAATTATTTTTGATGTCTTAAGTATTTTATATTTTGCATTGTTGGAAGATTTTCGATAACTCTAGTTGTTGTGCATATAACCAAAACATCAATAAAGTCTTTGAATCTTTGAAATTCCGATACAGGTTTCTTTACTAGTAACTGAGTATTTTTACAGTGTTGTACGAGTACTTTTGCCTAAGTACAGGATCTTAAATCTTCTTCAACTACTCAAAAGAAAACCCAACTTGGCCGAATATATTTTTTCTGCAGCGGGAAGTCTGAACTTCCCACCTTACCGTTTTCTGCCTTTCTGGAACCAGCAGCATGTGGTCCAGTAAACCTGCCTCAGAGAAACGTATCCACCAAGAACAAAGCCGAGGTTTGGTCCGACAGGCGGCACGCAAACGTGTTCTCCTGCTTATCTTGTTTATGTGATGGAGTTTTTCAAACGCAAACATTTTCTTTAGATGGCACAGTGGACCTCTGCTCTGAGATAAGTATCAAATGCAGACTTAATTGCCTGAGATAGAAGCTTATTATTCCCATTTAAACGGGCCTCGCTCCCCGGGTCTCTCTTCTGCCAGTCTCTCTCTCCCATTCTTTCATCCCCCCTCCTCTTCCTCTGTCTCTATTGTCTGTTTGATGTGGAGATGAAGGGAAAAAAGGGCAAACAAGAACAGTTTGGTGCTGAAAAGTTTGGAAATGTGGTAACAATTGGAATGTAATGGAAGTGTTTGGAGGTCTTGTCCCCTGGTGTGCTTAGCTAATGATTTTGCTGCCCTGAGTGCACTGCGTATGTACGTCTACACATCACAACATTAAATGTACTTATTCCAGAAGTCTTGAACATATTGTCCTCAGTGATTGTAAGTCAGTCTTGTCTTGTGGATGTTGCAAATGGAGCTGCTGTAATGCATAGCGATCTCAGTTTAAGGAGGCATTCAAAAGAAAACAAGTTGGACTTACAAGTACAGTGCTTAAGTAAATGTACTTAGTTACATTGCACCACTGATTTTTGATCGCCAATATTGCAGTAAACATCTTTAAACTGAAGTCACTGACATTTGCTACTGTTTTGTGTTTACATTTGTCGTTTCAAAATACAATTTAGAAAGCAAAGATAGCAAAGATAGCAATTAGCAAGCCAGAAAAGTCTTGACTTCTTGGTTAAAACTGAGCTTTCTGTTAGGTAGGGTTTGCTTTCCTTTCATCCCTCATGGCATCTTTGTTCGGTTGTATTTACAGGTATTAAACTTTAATTGATTGTATTTAAGTTTTGAGATATCTATGAGTTGATCATGCACCTTGTTTCTAGAAAATATGTTTCTACACTGCACACTTTGGCATCTTTTGTTGACTCTACGAAGCTTCTTTCTTTTGCAGCTACAACTAAATGTTCTCTTCCATTTTCTATCTTTCCTGCTTCTCCACCCTGAGTTCTGCAGCGATGCATGGTCGTTGCCTTTCTGGGATGTGTGGGCGGCGTTTTCCCTCGCCGGTCGGCACCGAGCCGGCATTCCTTCATGGGTTCACTGGCAATGCTCAAGTGGCTCCCTCTTAACAGCCCCTCTAATCACTCAGGGACATAATCACAGGCCACTTTGAAGTAATAGTCAATTTGCTACGAGTCCACCGTTTAGCAGAACTGCTTCGACGCAAGCCGGGGCTGCGAGCCGGCCATGGCAGATATAAAGATAGGGAGGCTGCGCAGAGGTAAAGAACGCTTTTTGAACACTCGATTCAGCAAAAGCCACCACATGCATGCTTATATTTTGTAGGAAAGTCTTTAAAAAGACTCAGACAAAGGACAGGTGAAGTTGGTAAGCGATGGGAAAGCCAAACGTTGCACAGGCCGCCCGTGTGTGTGTGCACAGTTGATGAGAAGTTCACAGGAAGTGCGCAGCTGTCACTCATCCCTGCACGCTCTGCTCCTGAATGCACCACGTATTGCTCACAATGCCACACTGTACCTGTGATGATGTGTGCACGCCGCAGCACATGTTGATTGTTTACAATACTTCGGGTGGCGCCAGGCGCTGAAAAAACAGGCGCTGAAAAACACTTTGTTTTGGTGGGGTGGCTGCTCCTGTGGTTTTTGTAATCGCCATCACTATCAGGGGCCCTGATCGCTTCACAGAGAGGGGGGGGGGGGAAGAAAAGGTATGTTATTCCACACGGTACACAAAGGGAGGGAACAGAGGGAGAAAGAGATGTGGGTGCCTGGCAGTGTGTCTGTCTGCCCTTTTCCCTCTTGTCTCCCTCCTTACCCACTTATTGTACTGCCTTTTTGCCTGATAGTTAGCTTTTATTAAGAGTTAGTAGATTTGGCTTGGTGATGTTGCCTGTCTCTAATATGATGGATTTTCCAAGGGGAACTTTTGTGTCTTTACTCCAGCCTGCATCCCCTTATGTCGTATGAATAATTTGCACATTTCTCAAGTAGTTTTGTGTGTTATCACTACGCATGTTTTGTTTTTTTAACGGCGCAGCAATATAAGACGCTCAGAGAAAGTGCTCCTGAAGTCAGGTGACAAAGTGTAATAAGCAAAGAAGCCCACGTGTGCAGTAGAATGGAGATGGTTGGATTGGTCAACCAAACACATTACTTTCAACCAAGTTCAGGCCATTGTAAAACTAAAGTCAACTTTTGTTTATCTATGAATCCTTGACTTATGTACCTAACTATATTAAGGTAACAAATGTCTTATTTCCACCCAAACATTGATCTTTTCCTTAACTTAAACAAGTAGTTTAATTTGAACTCACAACGTTAACCACGCGTTTAGAACTGCGTCCGTATGTAGGGACAACGGGACGATGAAGGACAATTGAAATGTGTAGACACATATCTATATCTGAGCTATTTATACATTGGGCATGAGATAAGGTGACTTAACTCTTGAACCTCAAATGTTTTGGTAATATTTCCACCCTTTATTTTTTGGGCTCATGGTATGTTACAAGTCCTGTATTGTGTTTTCTCCTGAGAATTGTTATGTTTTTAATTTGGCTCACCAATGTCATCCATTTAAAGGGCTAGTTCGCCAAATCACAAACACAAAAGATGGAATGGTATTGTATCAGTCAGATAGATTTGGTTTCATTTACCGAAGTTTTGAGATATTTGACTTTGAATTTATCGGGCACTCATGCCTCTGGAAAACTGTTTCTGTTTCTGAGATTTTCAAAGGTCATTTATTAGCTCTTTGAGGGACAGAAATAAAATGCACCTCCATTATATTGGGATCGAACATATCTCAAAACCTCATCAGCCAATCTGCCTGACTACATATCCTTTAAAGGGAACTTTTTTTGTATTTCAGTGAACTGGCCCCTCTCGTTGAATCTCCTAAATAGTGATCACGCAAAGCTCATTTAAATTGTACAGGCAGAGGCAGACGAAACAAGCCACAGTTCGCTGATACAGACGCTCCCGCAGTTATTGTCATCGGCAGCATGTCGTCGGCTTCATGGTTGTCTGCTTTACCTGTCCATGAACAAAGAGTGTGTGTGAGTGTGTGTGATAGGGGGGTTGCATGCACGCTGGTCTGGCCTATTTTACAGAGCCATTAGTGTGAGGCGTGTGTAATTCAGCGGGCCTGCAACGTCTTTATTCACGCAGCGACATTAGAACGTAATGAATCATGAAGAAGCCATATTGTTCCATGCTACTCTCCCTAACACACACTCGCACACACACTCACACACACACACACTCACAGGTGTAGAACATCATTATCACCCAGCTCCAATTGATGAAGAGTATTATACTGGCAAATTGATTTTCCTTACTCTGCGATCATGATGACACAAGAAAGGAGAAGACGAAGAAAAGACGCAATCATCAACAACTTTATATTCCAATCAGCATATCTGAGTAGGATGAATAAAAAAGAATTGCACAGAAAAAATGAAGCCGGGTCTCAAATCGTCTCAAATTGCTTTGCTTTTTTTTCTATCATGAAATGTTACCGATTATCATGAAACGCGTAAATTGAATTCTTTTTTTTTCATTTAAGTAATAATTGATTTGACATTTCGGAGCACTTCAAAGGCAGTTTGGCCCGAAGGCTCTGCAGTAAATTACAGTATAAAGCTGAAGATTTACCATTAGCTGAGTGTCAAGTGTATGCTCGGCTTTCGCTTCCCCTCCCCATCTATCTCCCCCCTTTTACACCATCTTTCTCCCCTCTGCCTCTATCTTTTCTCCCCAAAAACCCTGTGAAATTCCACTGAAAACTTTCCTTCACTGCCCTGTGTGTGTGTGTTTGTGTGCTTGTTTCCAGGTGTATTGTAACACTTTAAAGGCCCGGTGTGTTTATCAGTAAACGGAGCCCCGCACAGTTCACCCGCCTCCATTATAACTCTTTTCACGTCCTTGTTTAGTTTATATATTTTTTCCTCGAGGAAATGCCCTTCTTTTCTGTCCATGCAGGGCACAACAACAGGCGGGGGGGGTGTTTGATATGTAAATATTCTGCTCAACAAAGTCCAGGTGCTATCTGTAGTTACAGAAGACGATACTCCGGCAGCGGATGGCTTCCTCGCCTTCTGAAACATGCAGACACACAATTAAACACACAGACTGAGCTCAGACCGGTGTGTTAGGATGATATTTTTGTATTTATTATTAAAAGTCAGATCTTCTCTGTTCAATGTCCTCCTTCTCTGATATGGAGATAATGCAATGTGTCTGATTGCATGGTCTCATCGATTATAACTTGTTTATTTAAGAAGAGTCTGTAGAGAGCACTTGGGAAGATTAGATCAATAATCCAGTGATCAAGACTAACGCTATTTTTTTAATATCAAGACAGTATTCAATAGTCTTGTATACTCTAGCAAGGTTTTTGTAGAACTAGAGATGGAGAAATTATTTAGGAATTCTAGTTTGAAATGTATTTATAAAAAAAGTTCAGACAACCAAAATCTTAAGTAAAATTGCAAGTATTAACATAAAACGATGCAGTATAGCAAAAGTGAAAGTAGGCCTACTCTTTATGCACAAGGTATTTCATTCCTGGATAATTATTATACATTTCATATATTATTATTGATGCATTAATATAGTCGGTTTTTAAATTGTGAACTATTCATCTGAATCTGCAAATTAACTTTTGCAAACTTAAAGGTGGGGTAGGTCATTTTGGAGAAACCGGCTCGAGTGCGATAGAATTTGAAAATACACAACCGGAAAAAATCTTCCACTTCCTTACAGAGCCCCTCCTCCAACACACACGAACGTGCACATGACCAATGAGGGCACGAGATAAGTTTGTGCACAGATGGAAGGCTGACAGGCAGGTAGGCCATCCAGTTATTTTAGCCGGGCCGGCTAAAATGATTGGTCGTGCTTTTTACAGTACGGCTTCCACAGATGACATTTTTTTATGTATTTATTGTCAAAGCATTTAATATATTCATTGCTATCGGGATGTTAAGAGCATTCCATGGAATATAACAAAAAGTGTTTCTGAAATAAATTACATACCCCACCTTTAATGTAGTGGAATAAATGAAAAAAATAAAATAAGTATAAGTATTTAAAAACTGTACTTAAGTATAGTTCTTGAGTACATATACTTGTGTAAATATACTTTTACATTTCACCACTGTGATCCACTAAAAAGTACATTCTGCAATACATT